TTTTTTTTCCTTTTTTTTTTTTTTTTTTTTTTTTTTTTTTTTTTTTTGTGAAAGCTCGGCAAATGCATTACATCAGCTTGGCTTCCAATGGCGTTTGTGGTCCAACAGTTAGGATAATTGCCTTTCAAGCAATAAACTCGGGTTCGACTCCCGGCAAACGCAACGCATTACATTTGCAAAATAATTTCTTTTTTTTTTCCTCCTATTTTTTTTTTTGTTAAAGCTTGGGAAATGCATTACATCAACTTTGTTTCCAAAAGCGTTTGTAGTCCAACGGTTAGGATAATTGCCTTCCAAGCAATAGACCCAGGTTCGACTCCCAACAAACGTCTTACTTTTGCAAAATAATTTCATTTTTTTTCCTCCTATTTTTTTTGTTAAAGCTCGGCAAATGCATTACATCAGCTTGGCTTCTAACAGCGTTTGTAGTCCAAGGGTTAGGATGCTTGTCTTCCAAGCAATAGACCTGGGTTTGACTCCCGACAAACGCATTACTTTTGCAAAATAATTTCCTTTTTTTCTTCTTCAATTTTTTTTTTTTGTTAAAGCTTGACAAATGCATTACATCAACTTGGCTTCCAACAGCGTTTGTAGTCCAACGGTTAGGATAATTGCCTTCCAAGCAATAGACCCGGGTTCGACTCCCGGCAAACGCATTACATTTTCAAAATAATTATGTTTTTATTTTTCCTCCTACTTTATTTTTGTTAAAGCTCGGCAAATGCATTACATCAGCTTGGCTTCCTACAATTGTTGTAATCCAACGGTTAGGATAATTGCCTTCCAAGCAATAGACCCAGGAGTCGACCTTGGTTCAATTCCCGGCAAACGCATTGCTTTTGCAAAATAATTTCCTTTTTTTTTTTTTTTTTTTTTAAAGCTCGGCAANGGTTAGGATAATTGCCTTCCAAGCAATAGACCCGGGTTCGACTCCCGGCAAATGCATTACATTTGCAAAGTAATTCCTTTTATTTTTTTCCTCCTATTTTTTTTTTTTTTTTTGTTAAAGCTCGGGAAATGCATTACATCAACTTGACTACCAACAGCGTTTGAAGTCCAACAGTTAGGATAATTGCCTTCCAAGCAATAGATCCGGGTTTGACTCCCGGCAAATGCATTACTTTTGCAATAATTCCTTTTTTTTTTTTTTTGTTAAAGCTCGGCAAATGTATTACATCAGCTTAGCTTCCAACATTGTTTGTAGTTCAACGGTTAGGATAATTGCCTTCCAAGCAATAGTCTCGGGTTCGACTCCTGGCAAACGCATTACATTTGCAAAGTAATTCCTTTTATTTTTTTCCTCCTATTTTTTTTTTCTTTGTTAAAGCTCAGGAAATGCATTACATCAACTTGTCTTCCAATAGCGTTTGTAGTTCAACGGTTAGAATAATTGCCTTTCAAGCTATAGACCCGGGTTCGACTTCTGGCAAACGCATTACTTTTGCAAAATAATTCTTTTTTTTTTTTCTCCAAAAGTAATTCTTTTTTTTTTCTCTTTTTTTTTTTTTTTTTTTTTTTTTTTTGTACATATTGACATTTATCGAAATTCACACTGGATTGAAAGTTTATGATTNTCGTTTGTAATCCAATGGATAGGATAATTGCCTTCTAAGCAATAGTCCTGGGTTCGATGCCCGGCAAACGCATTAGATTTGCAAAATAATTTCTTTTTTTTTTCCTCCTATTTTATTTTTTTTTGTTAAAGCTCGGCAAATGCATTACATCAACTTGGCTTCCAATAGCGTTTGTAGTCCAACGGTTAGGATAATTGCCTTTCAAGCAATAGACCCGGGTTTGACTCTCGACAAACGCATTACTTTTGCAAAATAATTTCTTTTATTTTTCTTTTTTTTTTTTTTTGTTAAAGCTCGGCAAATGCATTACATCAACTTGGCTTCCAACAGCGTTTGTAGTCCAACGGTTAGGATAATTGCCTTCCAAGCAATAGACCCAGGTTCGACTCCCGGCAAACGCATTACTTTTGCAAAATAATTCCTTTTTTTTTCCTTTTTTTTTTTTTTTTTTGTTAAAGCTCGGCAAATGCATTACATCAACTTGAGTACTAATGGCCTTTGTAGTCCAATGGTTAGTATAATTGCCTTCCAAGCCATAGACCCAGGTTCAACTCTCGATAAACGTATTACTTTTGCAAAATAATTCCTTTTTTTTTTCCTCTTTTTTTTTATTGTTAAAGCTCGGCAAATGCATTACATCAACTTGGCTTCCAACAGCGTTTGTAGTCCAACGGTTAGGATAATTGCCTTCCAAGCAATAGACCCGGGTTCGACTCC